TCTTCCTCTTCCTCTTCCTCTTCTTCTTCTTCTGTTTTCTATTTTGTTATATAGGTTCTCACTGTAGGTATTGATGATCTCTTGGATTTCTGTGGGATCTGGTATTATTGTTTCCTTTTTGTTCTAATTACTTGAATTTGTGTTCTTCTTTTTGATGAGGTTAGCTAATGGTTATCAATTTTATTTGTTCTTACAAAGAACCAATTGTTCAATTTATTGATTCTTTATATTTTTTTCTTAGTCTCTATTGCATTAATTTCTGCTTTTGTCTTTATAATTCCCTCTCTTGTACAAGCTTTGGGTTGGATTTGTTCTTTTTTTTTAGAAGTTTGACATCAACATTAGGTTGTTTTCCTGATGTATGAGTTCACTATAAATTTTCCTCATAGGACTGCTTCCATTACATTCCATAGGTTTCAGTATGTTGCATCAGCATTATTAATTGTATATATATTTTTCATTCTGTCTTTGACTTCCTCTGTGACTCATTGTTTGCTCAGAAGGGTGTTGTTTAATTTTTCTATGTTAATGTATTTTTTGTGGCTTTTTGTTGTTGATTTCTAGTTTCATTGCTCTATGGTCAGGTAATATGAATGGGATATTTTTAGTTCCTCTACATTTACTTAAATGTTTTGTCAGCAAAAATATGATCTACTTTGAAGAACATCTTTTTTTTTTTAATATTTATTTATATTTATTACATTTATTTATTGTGTGTGTGTGTGTGGCCAGCTCAGCCCACCAGGGGGCGGGGCTGGCTGGCATGTGGTGCTGGAGGATTGAACCGCGGTCCCTGTGCTTTGCCAAACTTGTTTCAAGTAGGTGCTTTAGACCACTGAGCCATCTCTCCAGCCCCAAATTTTGAATTTGATTTCTTTCTTTTTTTTTTTTTTTGGGGGGGGGAGAACCAGGGATTGAACTCAGATCCTTACATTTGCCAGTCAAGCACTTATACTACTGAGCCATCTCCCTGGCCCCTATTGAAGAACATCTTACGTGCAGGTGAGAAGAATGTATATTCCGATGTTTTAGTGTGGAGCACTTTGTAGGCATTAGTTCACATGTTTGGTTTAATTCTAATTTTTTATTGTTATTTTGTCTAGTTGATCTATCCATTTGTGAGACTGGGGTGTGATGATACCCCACTATAATTGTGTTAGTGTTTATTTGGTTTTTCATTACAGTTAATATTTGTTTTATGTAGTTGAATGAACCTATGTTTGGTTCATATATATTTATGATTGTTATCTCTTCTACACATTTATTTATCCTTAATAAATGTGTAGTGAACTTCTTTATCTCTTTTGATCAGGTTTGGCTTAAATTTCATACTGTCTACAAATAAAATAGCTACCCCTTTTTCTTCTGGATTCCTGTGGCATGGAGAATTCCATCCTTTGACTTATTATCTATTAATTTCTTTTGGGGTTAAATGTGTTTCTTGAATATAGCATATTGTTGGGTCTTGCTTCCTAATCCATTGATTGTGTCAGTTTGTTTCTTTTAATTGATGAACTGAGAACATTTACATAGACTGATATGTATGGACTTTTCCTTTTTGTATTGTTTCCTTGTTATTTGTTCCCTGTCTCTTCAGCTCTGTTTGACTGCTTGTCCTGCCTAGCAGCTTCTTTCTACTGGTGGTGTTGTGTTTGTGGTCTTTGTTATCTCCTAAGCCTTTGTTTGGTATCCTTGACAGTTTTAAACTCTGCAAATAGAAATAAAGTCCTACTTTTATCCAATTATTCTTAAAATTCTGCGAATTATTTAGGATATAGTTTGGGGTATTTATTATTTTGAAATAGCAAATCATCTCTTTATGGCTTGCTGGTTTTCTAAAATCCAAAAGCATTGAAGCTGAGTCAAGATTTCTAAGTGATTTGTTTCTGCTTAAATTCTCAGATATTAGAGTTACTTTTGCTATCACACAAATTAGACTCTTGAACCAACTAGATTATTCTGCTTTGCATCCAGCGGGTAAGACTTTGAAGTAGACATAGTGGGGATGGTTTTATCTCCAGAATGTCTGGGACTACCACTGGGAAAGCTTGAACACTGGGACTGACTTGATGACTGAGAGCAGAAATCATCTGAAAATTATTCTCTGATATGTGTAGTGCCTGTTGTGAGCTGTTTTAAAGACTGGGGCTGCAATCTTGGCAACTCTGAGGGCTGAGGAAGGACAGTTTGTGGCCAACCTGGCCAGTCTATTTCAAAGTAAAAAATAAAGGTTTTGGAATGTAGCTCAGTGATACAGCAGTTGCCTACCATGCATGAGGCCCTAGGTTCATTCCTCAGTAATACACACAGACACAGACACAAACACAGACACACACACACACACACACACACACACACACACACACTCCCTGTTGACACAACCGGAGCTGCTGTAGTATACAGCACCTATACATGGTCTCCATGCTTTAGCTCTCCTTCAGCACTGAGTACTTGGAATTCTTACATAGTGACTCAGGTATCCAGACCAGCTTTCCAATCAGACAAGGTGGAAGCTGCCTTGGCTCTTATGATCACCTTGAGAGGCATATGGTTTATCTATGGTGTACCATATTTTTTGAAGCAGTCAGGACCTTGCCAGAGGAGGGAGTGTAGATTCTACTACTTGGTAGAAAGAAGGCAGGGTCACATTACAAAAAACAAAGTGAAATAGGAGGTATTGTTGGGGCCATCTCTGGGAAATAAAACTTGAGCAATGGATTATTCTATGGAGGCTTAATATACATTACAATATGAAGTAAAATATGGTTTATCACTGTCAAGTTTATTTCCTGTAATTGAGCTCTTGTCACCATGCCACAGTGAGCTAGTCACACTCAACTGTCTTTGAGGTAGGCATTTCTTTTATTTGTTTTTCATAATGATTTTTCCTGGTGTAGGCCCATTACTCCACTGATAAAACTTTTTAATATTTAATTTATTCTCAGTTTGTAAGTCATTTTCTCAGGTGCCCATCAGTTCATTGTAAATGATTAATTTAGAAGGCCTTTGAAGCACTACTGCATCTGGCTAAGAGAGACCTAAGTGTCAACCTTGGAAGAATCCAGTGACATTCAGCTGTACTCCTTGAAGCACAGGGAAGGTATTTAGAGTACGGTATTTTGTCAAAAGAAGGCCAAAAGTTGAACCTTTTCCATTCAACACTTAAAGCATTATTTAAAAGAGCTGCCCCTCTAAGGTAGGGCAGATTTGCTTTAATCCTAGTTGCCTTATTTAATTTTGTGAAACTGAATGAATTTATTTACAAATTATAGGTTGGTTTCCTCACCAAAAACACTACCCCAGCAGTATCCAAAAGTAATGTCTTTTCGCCTGATCATTACAGTTCACTATAAAAAAAAATACTAGTGTACTAAAATTTTGGTAATGTAAGCTATTTAAGAAGCAAAATACAAAATATAACCTTTTTCTCTCCTTTGGGATCTTCCCACTTAAAATCTTTCTTTAATCCCTAGTTATTGTAGTAATGAGTTTAAAGATGACAAGTGCTTATTGCATTATTTTAAGCTCTTTAATTGATCTGGATTTACTGTCTTTCTGTGTGGCAGGTGGTGAAATTTACCAAATCCTTTGAATTGATGTCCCCAAAGTGCAGCGGTGATGCTGAGAACAGGTAGGGCCTGCGGGATTTATGTTTTTCTTTTGATGCTTTTTGGCGCTTGGTGGTAGCAGCGTTGCTTATTTCTCTGAGAATATGAGTTGCTCTTTCTCTATCTCGGCAAGTGCAGTCAAATGTTGCTCTTTTATATTTCAAAGCTTAAATAAAAACTTGGTGAAAAATGAAGAATTATGCATCTAACTTGTAAAGTTTTGTGTTTTTTTTCTAACTTGTAAAGTGTTTAAGACCAAATTTTACATAGTACTTGTGATATGATTGAAATTTTGTGTTCAGGCTTTAGCTTCCATTTTCCTCAACCTTACAGTGATCATAATAGATCTTAAGATAATCTACTGATTTCTGAATTTAAAATCCAAGTTCTGTACGATAGTTCATATGGAATAACAGTGAAGAAAATGTTTTAATCACGTTTCAATTTCTTGTAGTACTAAGAATTTGCCTGAAACTGCTAATAAAGTAAAATTTACTTATTTGTTTATTTTTGTGTTGTTGGGGATTGAATCTGAGATATTCATGCTGTGTCTATCATAAATCCTTCTTAATTTATTTTTAATTTGGAACAAGTTCTCCTTAAGTTGCTAAGCTGCCCAAATTGTGAGCCTTATGCCCCAACCTCCAAAAATGCTGGAATTACATATGTGTGGCACCATTACTGAATTCAATTTTCAGATATTTCCTAATTATATAGAAAACTCATTGTTTTGCTTTATTCTGGCCCCTTATTTTTCTTCCTCCCTTTTGCTTAACCATATTTGCCCAGTAACATCATCCTGGAACACAAAGTGAGAGTTCCCAGTAATTTGCTGTTGTCTTTCTTGTCATCTTTGAAACTGCAACAGTAAAAGTGAGGTTAGGACTTATGTGTAAACATATATAAGTCTTTATTCCTATTTTTAAATATGTTTTAATTTTTTGAAGTTTTTTGTCATATTCTATAGGGACTTAAAGTTCAACGTATCAATACTTTATGAAAAATACCTGTTCCATGTTATGCCTAAGATGTTTGATATTCAGACAGATAGTGAGGTTA